ACATTTAAAATTTACAATTTAAATTTTAAAAATTACATCCAACAAAAAATCTCCAACTTTAACGAAATACTGAATACGAATTTGAGCTCACATTTGATATACACCAGAAGTACACTTGTTATGTTTAGTTTAGAACAATATTAATTTTTATTTAGGTTGTGCTCGGATCGTCAGTGTAATTAAAGTTATCATAAGGACAAGTTTGTCTTTTCGCTAGCAATGTCTTCTGCGACAACGCATTGCTCGATTTAGGAACAAATTAAAGAAACCTTTATAACATCAGCCACTTGTTTCCACTGTTCGTGTGTTGGATCCATACCAGTCGGGTTATGTGCACATCCGTGCAAAACAATCACCGATCTGAATTGTTACCCGATTACCATTTCATCTATTTCACTTTCAAGGGATGAAGCATCCAAAGCATCGAAACGAACTCTTTTTATTGCATTAATGGTTCATCGTAGTCTACTCGTATTGCAACGAAAAATTAAAATACAAATAACGAATAACTTCCAGCTATGTATCGACTCTCAACATCCACTAATTTCACGAAATGTCCAAATGATGTTTCTCAATGATAAGCCAAATCAAATCATCATGTTCCTCGACGATACGAAATGTGACAATCATAAACAATTCGTAAAAGTTGCATTACGCTAACGTTCAGCACCATACTATCTGAACATACAAACTTCCAAGCGCATACCTTTCAGGTGCTGATTCCAGATCGGCGATGAAGTTTTTAATATCAACACATCTGTTTTCGGTATCCCAATAACGATACGTCTTGATTGTGTCAAATCCCGCATTGTTGAATACCAATTTGTGATTACCCCTGCATATCATCACATCACTTCGGTAAAAATGAATGAAAGCACGGCCCTTTTCACTTATCAACACAAACAAAAAATTCTATTTGAATGTATTTGAAGAGAGTTCATTATCGCGATCGTTATTCAATAAATGAAGAAACCAATACTCAGTTCAACATCTACAATTGGTAATCTTCCAACTTAATTCAGCTTTAGACAACACCCAACAATCCTTGCGCCTCGTATACAAATCACTCAAAACACTTCTTTTCAAACTCTATTGTCGAGACGAAGTGAGTCAAATAATGGCCTCAAATCGTTGCTGCTTAAGGAATAAAGTTATGATAAACGAGTATAAAAAATGACCACGATGGTGCTGAGATGTACACCGTTTTCATGCCCAACTGACGAGTCAAGAATTCGGCACCAGCTCGCAACGATCCTGTACCCGAAAGGCATTGCACACCAGTGACCTGAAAATTACGCGAATACCTCACACCTTTCTTCAGTGACCCTCCCAAACAATTTTTCTCCATATTTGAAGTGCTTGAACTCAAACATTTCCAAATTTTGAAACAAATAACGTGAGTAATGCATAGAGTTCAACGCAAAAATCATAGAAAAAAGCTGACGTTTTCTGAGTACACCGTAAAAATTCATCTAATTGCAAATGTAAGATTTAAAAAAAAAGCGATGTAGTAGAATCAACCAGAGTAAATAAATATGAATAAGAAAAGTACGAAATCACAAATTATTACACTATATGATAGTGGTGATAACAACAACAACAATCACAATATTATTGAATTAATAGTCACAACAACAACTATCATTCTACTGCACTCACGTACTGCTGCTCGACAATAACGCTCGTTTTATAGCCATCTCAAATAACAAATACACCAATCCGCAGTTAACAACCGAGCTGACTAGACTGCTGATAACGCACAAGGCTGATTAGGCTCACTGATCACACAAAGAGTACACTCACCAGATCGTACGAATTACTTGCACACGCTGTTCCGTTAGTAACACATACAACAGAATACAAACAAACAAATAAATTCACAAACGATGCACAAAAATCCACTTGAAGAACTGTCAACCGACCCGATTTTCTTTGATTGCCGGTGAATCTTTACCAAGCACCAGTTCAACAGCAGCCTTGCAAAACGGCTCAAATCCGAGCACCGGTAAATATTCGTGATTGGTCGTCGTATCTGCAGCCAATCGCTTTTCAGCTTCTCTCACAACCGGTAGTACCCAAGGTTGACCTTCTTCGGTTCGATATGCTTAAAAAGAAATTTTTTCTTCAAATTTCCACAAGAATCAAATAATTGCATGCATAATTTACGAATTTCACATGGCATTTTCATACTTTGATTCAATGACACAACCTGAACGGATCGATTTCGAATGGTGGTATATGCAGTTTTCTAAAATTGTAATTACGCGAAAATCGCATGAAAATAAATCTATCACATAATTGGAGTATTTGCGACAATTGAAAGCGCCAAAAAAAACTTCAACTGAATGAAATCGTAAAAACGAAACGAACCTCCAACAGTGAGATTAACTTTAGTCGGAGATGTATCGTCCTGATACATTTTGTTCATGTGAAACACCTCTATTGGAGGTGCTACCTGTACGTTAGAGAAGTACGACGGCATTTTTATGAACGATTAGCCCTGAAATGGATTACCTTCACAATAAACTCGATAACAACGTGATTGCGTTCACTCACGAAATACAGTACTCGATGTCAATAAACGTCAAACAACTGCATCTGTATGATCAATTATTAACATTCATTATAAATGCTACACGAGGCAGAAAAAAAAGGTCTTCAGTAAGAATAATGAAAATAATGAACAAATAAATGCATTATAAATCCCTGCAGTAGTATATAATTTGTCACATTGACTGACGCCTAATAAACTGGTTATACCAGCCGACCGAAGTTGGGTTGGGTAGAATTCGAATTTCGGAATCTCAAAATGTGAATTCGGTTGGATTTCGATCGAACCGAAATTTCGTTCGAATATCACCACTGAAATATATCTTGAAAATGTTCACATTCAGCTGTGAATATAGCACTATTCAGTATTCTATGAACAAAATTATAACATATTCAAGACTGACAATGGGTTCAACAAAGACCAAAAATCGAATGACATCAAAGCTCGAAAATTAAAACATCAATCGAGTTATTCATAATTATTGAATATATAAACGGTGGAAGAATGAGTTCTTTCTTACAAGAATATCATGTTGAAGACGAACAGCATCACAAATATTACAACGAATGCAAATATGAGTTTTTAAAAGCAAATGTTGTTTGGCTTTATCACCGAGCTTACATATATCTGTTGCGTTTGATATTTAATTCCACTAACACATTTCTATCAGCACAAGCACCACTAAAGTACATTCTGCATGTTTGACAATTCATGACGACAAATACAAAATTGATCGCAAACAAAACTGGATGCATATTCCAGCAAAACATATGCTATCCAATAGTTGTGATTATTCAAGACAAATCGAATACGTTCAAGCAACCTTTCAAAAAATTTTCAGTACAACAATCCATCACCAATTGAATTTGAAAGAAGTTCAAAGCATATACAATCAGGTTTTGAAAAGTTTACCAAATTACACGGCATAGCACAATAGACTGTAGACATTTTATTTTTTATCGAACAAACGAGGAACGCTTCTGATAGACTCAACCTCCTGCCAGAATATCCTCATTTTTCGTATGAACAATGAAAATTAAGCCGTATTAAGGTAGTTCCGGTGATATGCCTGCCTAAACAATTAAATATTCGTTAAAATATTTGCCCTAATTAAAATATTCGTTTGCTATCGAAAAAAAGCAATGAAATTCAAAAACAAAATGATGCATTTGAATTATGCTGGCAAGTCTGGTGTGGTGGCAAGTCTTTCCGACTGATCATTCCTCTAATTAAATGTAGGAAACAGGGCAGACGAAACGACGAAATGAGTGGTGAATGGATTGCTTGGAGATGCGTGGAATGAGAGTGAAACGTGGTCGTGTCTGAAGTGAATGAGAAGACTGCCTTGATAACACTGATTATAAATGTTTTGAATCGTAAACAGTAATGAGAGCAATGAGACAGTATGTGAATTAGACGTAGTGAACGTTGAGAGAACCTACTAAAGAGTAACTAATGCAACAATGTGAATAGCTTTCAGCACTGCATTGTATTTTCTTGATTCAACTCAGTTTCGCTACTCTCCCACTGCCTCTCACGTCTAATTTCCACTATGCCTGTTCGCTCTGATGCCTGTAAATCGAAGACTGCACGTTTCATTCATTCTATCTCGCCGCATTTCTTATTCATTTCAACCACACACCTCAACCTGTCTCATTCTTCTCATCACCAAAAAACAATACTCTACCGATTTCTTCACAACGACTTCTAAACTCGACATGTTCTCTAACAGAAATGAACAATTCAGAATGATTTGCCACACTTTTGGAATATTTCATTTTGGTTTCTACAATGTCGAAGGGTAATGAAGTTACGTCTTAATTTACCAATAGGGTTGTATTGTCGTTAAATTAGCACAAGCACTAATTGGATTCAGTGAAAATACACAAATATGATTATTATCGAAATTAAACAGATTTTCGGTTGTTCAAACTTTTCTTACATAAAATTGACCGGTTCATGTAAGAAATTTGAATGAAAATTTGATTGTTTGCTGAATTCTCATTTAGCAGTACAGGATTTCTCAAATTTAACTTTTCACATGTCATAGAATGTCAGTAGTTCTCATCTTCAATCTCCCTGTCAGCGTAAAAACTGGACTGATTTACACATCTCACGAAATTAACTGCTACGTCAAACAAATTAACTGTTACAGTCAGCAAAATTAACTGTTACGC